AATGGATTAATTATTATTTAAACACATTTTAATTAACACAAAGGAACGATAACAAGTGATACATTTCTTAATTAATGGACATAATTTTAGGCTCTGTATATGGGAATAAAATGTGTTAAAAAAGGCCAGAAACTAGGCCTAGCCTATAACACTCAACAATAAGCCACCTTTTCAATCGTTTTATTTTTTATGGCTAATATCCTACTTTTTGTACGATTTCTAGTTTTTCATGTCACAGTTTTAGCTTATTATTCTTGATTTCTCACAACTTATTTTGTTCAAGGTTTTTTTTTTTTTTTATGGTGTGAGTCAGAGTAAATTGCAACACAAATAAAGTCTCATGAACATGCAGCCTTGTACAGTGGGCCAACGGCCAAGGTCAGGATTTTTCATTTAAAAACTTTCATTAGCCTGTAGATCGAAATGAAAGCCCCTTAATACAACATAAGGAAATTGTGTAGTTTTAATGGTTTTCATAATGACTGTTTAATAACCATAACATGCAGTAAGAGCCTTTGTGTAAATGTAATTATTATTTTTTGATGCATCTGTCCCTTTGTGCCACCTGGCGGTAGTTTCGTGAACGACTTTAACACGCGACTGACTTGCAGTTAACGTCGTAACCCTGCGGCGGCGGTACACGTGGCAGTAATAGACATTTTGGTTGTCCACCTGCGGTACATTACCAAGAGTCTAGTCAGACATTCGACAGTCATAATTACGTTAACACACAGAGAAAATGTTTAACGGACGCCTCGCAGATACAAACAGGGTAAATAATGTTTTATATTTTGATTAAAAAGATAGTTAACATTAAACATCAGCGAAACCCTAAGAATTCACAAAATATGTTTTACAATAGTGCTCTCATTATAACATTATGTATATGACAGTAGTTATTAATGTTCTGCATTTCTGTTTTGAGCTGTGCGCGCTGAAGATGACCAGAAGAGTGAAGCAGCAGGTTTTTAATCAATGTGATTTAACTAATCATTTATCTCAAATAGAATATGCTTCATTATTTATACAACATAACGTTAATTTTACGACTTATAGGCTATCTGCACAAAATGCCCCGAATGCGTGTCTGTGGCTCTGAATGAACTTGTTTTGTGGACCCGTTCTTCACGCAACAACGTGCAGAA